TACCAGAGCCCCCAGTCAGGGATGTTTCAGGGCCTACTAATGGTCACCAGGCCTACTAGGGGGCGAGCTGGTGGAGGACATCTCCCTCTTATAGGGATGTGGTTAATGGACGCCCCTTCGCTTATTGACATGATTCTAAGGGCCTACTAATGGTACTCTCAGGCTCAGGATGATTTTGGCGACGTTGGACACTTTGCATTTTCTTTTCAACTTCCAGTCTGTGCGGTCGTAACAGGAGGTCGTAACAGCCTTGGGCAACGGCCTTCCGTCACGATGACTTGGCTGAACTGGCTGGGACGAGGAAAGATCCAGGAGGTTCAAAGGAAATCAAAGGAATGTTAGTCCAACAAGTTCAGCAAGTCCTATCCAGTTCAGCAAAGGGACGATGGGAATGTTAGTGTTTGTTTATTTTGTAGTCTCATCCAGGGGCCGTGGATGTGACGTTCGGGCACCCCGTCGTTTTTTTTTTCGTTCGGCCCTTTCGGGGAACTGGATGATGAGGTTATATTATTTAGTACTAGCTACTTGCTCCTAGTAGTAAGGCCAGGAGCCCCTAGTAGCGTTCTTGCTCCTAGTAGCGATGCCAGGAGCCCCGTTTGTAGCGTCCTTGCTCCCAGTTTCTGTGGGGCACTTATATCCAGAAGAGTGTCTTCCTGATCCCTGTCAGGAAGACATGTTGCTCATGGAAGTGGACAACCCCCATTGTTTAGAGTTCAAGGGCTCCCAGGGGCCACAGGAGAGACAAGTACCCGATGTGAACTGCAAGACGGACGGGTGTGGAGAGGTGTATGACATCCAGACCCAGACTATCCATGGGACTGGAAGACATATGCCCTACATTGACCACTCAAACTACCCCAATGTAGGTGTAAATATAATTAATATATAATATATGTATGGCCATATACATGGATAGTCTGGGAAGATAATGATAGTTCTCTAAAAATCCATTACCACCTTCTCAGGTTCGGTGCGACTGCACCCTCCAAACCTATAGAAAGGTGTCGATCACATCACCTGATCGAGAGGGTATTTGGATCCATAGGAGTTGGATACTACTCACCAGGAGACGGCCTCGGTCTGGCTTTTTTATACAGAGTGGTCGAACCTATAAGGCCAGCATGATCCCTCGGAAACTTTACAATCCCATCTTGAGCTTGGCCCATCTCAAGAATCTAAATCGCCAGTTCAATCATCCTTTGCAAAAATTACAAAACATACATCTGAACGCATTCTTATGTCGAATTCTGAGCCTGACCCAACCTTTTTGTGTGAGCTTGACTGATGTTTTGGCTTTCCGTCATTCCGCTTGGCCCAATGCCTTACCAGGGGACCCTTTTGCCGAATCTCCTTTGCAAGCCATGTGTGCTTGACTACGCTACGGCGCTTGAAGGAAAAGCTGGCTTGGTGCGCAGCTTTGTCAGAGGTTTCGGTACCTCTGTGGTTTGTTGGTGCTACAGGTTGCACTTGCATTGATTGGCAGTTGAGGTTGCCATACATTGGTACTTGGGGTTTCGCTCTTTTCACTAGAGGCTACCCTGCTACCGACACTGGTAGCGGAGCCTCCGGTCTTCGGACTGGGGGCACCGTTGCCAGGGTCGGTGGCTGACTGGAGGTTCAGGACTTTCTTGCATAGCAACTTGGCCTTGTCCCTTCGTTGCTGCCCACCACAAATCCAACCGGAGATCGAACATCGATCATTGATTGTGTGTGAAGGCACGTCAGCCACGACCGTTGACTTTTCCCTTGCCTTTGACCTGACGGACTGTTGAATTCAACCTTTTACATTGTGAGATGGCAACGATGATGGAGAAGAAGGAGCAAGTGGCCACGTGGAACGGTGACCCTACCACGTGGCTGGAATACGTGAAACGGGTTCGCTTGCAGTTTGAGCGAACAGAGAAGAAGAGGAGGTGCTTGTACGGTGCAGAGCTTGCTTCGAGGCTCACGGGCCGAGCATGGGACATCGTCAGCGCTGAGGTCGATCACTCTCAGTTGCAGAAGCGTGATGGTGCTGCATATTTGCTTCGTTTTCTGGAAGAGCGTTTGTGCAAGGCACCTGTCCCGGATACAGGCCAGAGGCTGGAAGACTTCTTTCTTCGCCTGAGGCGAACACCTGGTTCGTCCATGGCAGAGTGGGCAACCCAGGTGAGAGAAAGTTACCGTCGACTTCAGCGAGCTATGGCACGACAGCGAAAAGACTTGGCAGACCGTGATGGTCAGTTGAGAGAGCGTGCAATGTCTTCGACTCACTCCAACCCAGGTCATCGTCGACAGTCGGATGTCACTACACCCAAAGCCCCTACAGCTTCAGTTGAGAGCGCAAGTCCTGGATTTCCGGCCACCGATTCTGGAAACGGCCAGACCGACAGGCCTGATGATCCAAGGGAGACAGATGAGCCCGACCGAGGTGCCTATGAGCGTGTGCCCACACAAGACCCTGGCTCCGATGCAGGCAATGATTGGTGGACCCAGGAGGAGTGGGACACGTGGCGGCGCAGAAACCGCCATTGGCGTCGAGACGATGCCATGTCATGGACAGCTTGGGAGGAGGATGAAGAGGAGGATCCGGTGATTGAGTGGGAACAATTTGATTTGGGCTCCGAGCGCATTTTACCGGATGAGATCCTTGGTTGGATCCTTTTGCGCAGGAGCGGCCTTCCAGCAAATGCTAGGTTGTCAGTGTTGAGCGCTACAAACAACAGGTTGGACCTTGCATCTATGGAGCGTGCTATGCGTGACCAGGAGGAGGAGTTGTTGGCCGCCGAGGCCCATCGCAGTCGCGGTGATTTGCCCCGACCTCGTCGATCGTTTTGGGTTGAAGAGGATGCACATTGGGGCTTGTTGTCAGAAGTTGACATTGAAGATGTTGATGACAATGTGTTTTGGGTTGGCGAACGACTTCCCCCTGATGTTTACAGTGCTCCTGTTGATGAGAGCAGTGCCTGGTCGACTTGGCTCCCTGATGGCCAAGAGCTAAGCTGGGAATGGCATGAGGATGATTTCTATGCCTCCGATGCTGCAGGAATCTTTTGGTCCTGGTCAGAGACCAAGACTTGGTTGGATATGTGCGATGCCCCGACCTCAGATGGAGATCCCCTGCAAGAGGCCTATGCGGCCTTTCAAGATCGTTTTCGAACATTCAAAGAGAGCCGAGCACTCAATTCAGCAAAACATTTGTCCAGAGGTTTTTACCCCCTTGGTCAAATGAAGGGTAAGTTCATGCAAGCCAAAGGAAAAGGGAAGGGAAAGTCTAAGACCAAGAATCCCCCCAACAGTTCTTTGGCCACCAGCACGGCTGCACTCTATGCTGGAGGGGCGAAAGGAGCTCCATCAGGGCAGAAGCCTGGCAGTCCGACCTACAAAGGTTGCTTTGTTTGTGGTTCTCAGGACCACGACTTTAGGCGCTGCCCCAAGAGACAGAGTTCTTCCAGCACAGGAGCTCCGGCCCGATCTCTCTATGCTGCAGCGGTGTTCATGGTCAGTTCTGAGCAAGCTGACGAGATTGCTGATGTGACCTTTCCCACCGGAGATGTTCTTGCGACTTTGGCTGCCCAATTTCCTGGCCACGCAGTGCTGGATTCCGGCGCGACGGAATCGATCGCTAGCTTGGAGGCAATGCATGAGGTCATGGAGTTGCGAGCCTCGATCCACGGTCCTGAGCATTTTGTAGTGCATGCTCAACAGAAACGTTTCCGTTTTGGAAACGGGAGCATCCAGCACGCAGTGTCTTTTGTAGAGCTTCCCCAGATAGTGGCAGGCAAGCATGTGAAGCTGGGCGTTCACGCCCTGGATGCACCGGGCATTCCTTTGTTGCTGTCAGTCAAGACACTGACGACCCTCCGTGCTGTGATAGATTTTGCTGAAGGCCTGATCTGTTTCAAGGAGGTAGATCCTTCAGTTTGGATCAAGCTGAAACGAGCATCCAACGGCCATTTACTTTTGGACCTCACCAAAGACTGGCTTTCTGACCGGCCAGATTCATGTCTCACGGTGCACGACTTGCACGACCCTGAGCCCGCTCCGATGTACAAGGCCGCACTTGCTGATGACACCACATCATGTGAGAAGAATGTTTTTGAGAATGTTCATACCACTCCACCGACACTCCAAGAGCCTCTTCACGATCGGCATGAGCGCATGAGTCATGATGTTTTTGATGGAGTTTGTCATGAAGAGTCGCATGCAGTATTTGAACATGTTTTGCCAGCAGTGGCACACGAAGAAGCACATGAGTCTGTTTTGCAAAGCTCTCATTTGTCACAGAATGCCACCTGCGTGAATGATGCGAATCCGATGGACTCAGGCTCAAGCATGCGGTGCGCTTTGCCATTTGTGGTAGCTGCTACCGTGCTTTCTTCGACAACCTCTCCTCCAAGCTCTTCGACTCCAAGCTCGCTTCCCTGGCTTCCCCATGGCGGCACAGTCCAGCGAAGCCACCAAGGCTTTGGCCACGACTCCGGTTCCAAAGACGACAACGAAGAAGAAGGGCACCAGGGTGCCGACACCGGAGAAGTACGACATGAGCCGCAGGGAAGGTCCCGACGGCCGGGACAGCCGGGCACAAGGATTTCCTTGCTATGGAAACCACACTCCGATGCCCGAGGGGCGTGGGAGCCTGTCAGGCAGAAATGGCCATGGCAAATGGACAGTGTGCACTCTATGTCGGCTCCGGATCGAGTACGTGCCGGCGTACGGTGCAAAAGGGTGTTATCGCCAGCCCGGACCCCTTGCTCCAGATGTGACGACCGTCATGGAGCAGGTGAAGGACGACATCAAGGACAAACCAGAAGTCCGGGAGAACCTGAACATGAAGATGGCGAGCACTCTTGGAGCAGAAGCTTCCCTTCGAAAGAAGCTGGAAGTCCTCGAGAACGACAAGCACGAGCTCGACCGGAAGCGGTCAAGCAGGAACAGGACGTAGTCCTCAATGCCTCAGCTCCCAAGAAGACCCTCAAGAGAGAGAATGTCCAGGAATCCGAGGAACAGGAGACAGCGGAATGGGAGAAAGTGACGCCATCTCCCGAAAAGCCGTGAGACACCACATCACTGACGAGACCTATGAGACTGAAGATCCCTTCGGCCAGATCTATGGAAAGCTGACTCCACTGCAGCAGGAAAGCCTCGTGACCTCAGCCGACCACTATCAACAAGAGGCAGAGGAGACCTTTGAAGTGCTCTTCAACACGTCGTCTCAGGTAGACTTGATGGAAGTGTGTTGTCCTCCTGACAGTCGCTTGTCCCAGACATTCCTGGACAACAACCGCAAGGCGATCCGAGTTGGCCTGCCGGCCCATGACCTGTCCAACTCCAAGGACACTGAGGAGATCATCGCCATGATTCATGATTTGAGACCCAAGATGATGTGGATCTCTCTTCCTTGCGGACCTTACTCTCCTATTCAGCACATCTTCAACCAGGCAACTCCTGAGCAAGAAGCAGCACTGCTTTTGAGGAAGAAGAGATCTCGGAAGCTCATTCGCAATGCCCTTCGCCTGGTGAAGACACAGCTTGAAGAAGGAAGACATGTATGTTGGGAATGGCCTCAAAACAACGGTGGCTGGCGACTTCCCGAGCTCAAGGTCCTCTATGATCTGATGAACCAGTTCAAGGAGACGCACCATGCCCACATCCATGGCTGCGCCTTCGGCGTGAAGAATGCAGTGGGTATGCCTTTGAAGAAACCATGGAAGGTGGTTTGCACTTCACCCTCTATGGCAGCTGCGCTGACTCGCCGATGTCCTGGAAACCACGAGCATGCCGAATGCATTGGTGGGCAAGATGCTCGAAACTCAGGCTTCTATCCAGAAGCCATGTGCCGGACTATCTTTCGCACGGTCCAGTCTATGAACCACTCTCTGGATGGTGGAGCCTTTGCCGAGTCCTTTCCCATCTTCGATGACACCCTGATGGAGGATGAGAAGGAGCTCAACTTAGAGAAACCTTTGAGCGACAGTGAACGAAAGATGGCCATGCAGACTTTGGCCAAGCTACACCGACGCACCGGGCATCCCTCCAATCATGCCCTATCTGGTTGCCTCAAACATCGTGGAGCTCACCATGAGGTGATTGAGATGGCAAAGAAATATCAATGTCCAGAATGTCAAGAGCTTCGGCTAGCTGAGTTGAACCCTTCTGGAGCTCTTCAGCGGTCCGACACTTTGTGGGAAACACTGGTTCTGGACAATGCTGAGATGACCGTCGACAACCAGGTCATCCATTGCATGATTATGATGGACGAGGCCTCACGCCTTGTGTGCCCTCACTTCCTCTTCCAGCATGAGAAAACGGTGAGCCGAAACTGCACGGGCTTTGAAGCTATGCAGGCCATTGAGGAGACCTGGATCAGGCACTATGGCAATCCAGCCGCCATCAGGCTGGACCCTGAGGGCGCCTTCAAGTCCTCAGAATTGGCGCAATGGGCTGCTGAGAGAGGCATTGAAGTTTTGCCATGCGCTGCTGAAGCTCATCAGCAGATCAGCGTGGTTGAGAGGATGATTCAAACGGTGAAGAATACCGTCAAGCAGCTGCTCCAATCCGGAGAGTTTGATGCATGGTCAGCAATCATCCATGCATGCCGCAGTCACAATGAAGGTGAACGCATTGAGGGGTTCACTCCTTTCCAGTGGGCCTTCGGACGAATGCCTACTTTGAGCGGCAGCTTCCATGAAAAGTCGCCCGACCTCCCTTTCTGGACGTCTTCAGGTGTGCCTGGAAGCGCTATGGCCATGAACCTCAAACAGCGAGTGATGGCACAAAATGTCTTCATGAAGAACCAGGCCTTCGACCAGATCACCCGAGCGGCCAATGCAAAGACCCGCCGACACCAGATCTTCTTACCTGGTGACCTGGTCTTTTTCAAGAGAATCAAACCTCCTGCTCAACCACAGGCATCAGTCAGGATGGCTCACAAGCTGTGGCGCTGGTATGGTCCTGCCCGTGTCCTGGCCTCAGAAACCAGGACCGATGCTCATGGTGCTGAGCGGAAGCCCTCTCACATCGTGTGGATCGTGTCACACGGCAGGCTGAAACGGTGTGCTCCTGAACAACTTCGGCACGCCTCAGAACGAGAAAAGACCCTGGCAGAGCATGCCGACTCACCTACGGCATCATGGACTTTCCATGGCCTCACCAAGACGCTCTACAAGGGTGAATATGAGATTCTGGACAAGCACGTCTTTCCAGAAGACCTGGATGCGCAAGGACCACCCCGTGAACGAAGAGCCAGGTCCAGAAGCCGGAACCCCGGCACCCCCGGACCACCAGGCATGGCACCAGGCACTCCCAGAGCACCACAACAGCAACCAGCGACTCCGACAGCACCCCAGAGATCCAGAACCCCGGGAAGAGGGTCAGGAGAGACGCATGAGAGAAAGGTGAAACCAGAAACTGTGTCCAAGGCACTAGCCACACCACAACCATCAGGCACCAGTTCATCCCAGGTTAGCCTGTCCAGATTGGCACGAGATCCAAGATACACACCCGAGCCAGTGCCAAAACCCAGAACTGTTCCAGAACTCTTTGAGCAGCCTATCTTCAAGAAGCAGCGACGCCTGCACCAAGGCGAAGATGAGGCGATGATGGTCAGTGACACTATGACCACGCCCATGAAGGATTTGGCTGACTACGCCTGCGTTCTCTACCTGGACTTGCCAAGCAAAGCCAATGAGTGGAGAAAGATGCGACGAACGCCCATCAACTACTTCGTGAAGAAGGTGCGTGGAGCAGAAATCCAATGGCACAAACTTGATCCCACCGAGAAGAAGAAATTCATGGAGGCAAAACACTTGGAGGTGCAGCAATGGCTCACCGCCTCAGCCGTGAAGCGCATCACAGGCGACTATCCCAAAGATCGCCTAGTGAGAATGCGGTGGGTGTTGACCTACAAAGAGAATGGAGCAGCCAAAGGCAGAATAGTGCTGATCGGGTTTGAAGACCCCGACCTAGGCTCAATTCAGAGCTCAGCACCGACAATGTCCAAACGAACACGCCAGTTGGCCCTTCAGTACTCCAGCATCATGCGCTGGCGCCTGCTCAAAGGGGACGTGAAGTCAGCCTTCTTGCAAGGCGACCCGGATGAAGCAGATAGAGCTCTCTATGCTCGCCCGGTTCCAGAGCTGGCTGAAGCCCTCCACATGAAGGAGAATGAGGTGGTCCAGGTCCTCAAGTCCTGCTACGGCCTGGTGAACGCACCTGCTAACTGGTACTTGTGCATCAGACGCACTCTTGCTGAGCTGAACTTCACACAGAGCCGCAGTGACCCATGTCTCTGGTTCTACTACATGGAGACTGGCGACCCCGAGCGACCCAAAGAGCTGGCTGGCTACATTTGCTCTCACGTTGATGATTTTATCATCAGCGGCAATGAAGAGTGTGAACAATGTGTTGAGGCACTACAGGCATTCCACGGCAGGTTTCGATGGTCACCATGGGAACACCAGAATTTCCTGCACTGTGGCATTCGCATTCGTTAAGAGCCTGACAGCAGCTTCACTCTCGATCACTCGGCCTATTGTGAGGCCATTGAGCAGATCACCTACACCACCAAGAATGAGCATGAGCCTTTGACAAAAGACGAGATGTCTCAGCTTCGGGGAGCACTCGGTGCACTTCAATGGCGGGCGCAACAGACCGCGCCTCACCTGATGGCCCGACTGGGTCAGCTGCAGAGCTCCATCACCAAAGCCAACATTGAGACCATCAAGGCCACCAACAAGCTGATTCGTGAGAACTTCCAGCATCGCTACTTGTCGGCACGAATTAATCAGCTGGGTGTGGAGGATCCCCGATCGGTTCACTTCGTGGCATGGAGCGACGCAGCTCTCGCAAATCGCATCGACCTCAGCTCTACTGGAGGATTCCTCATAGCAGCTACTTCAGAGAAGATGTTGCTTGGTGAGCGTGCTCCTTTGACGCTAGTCTCTTGGCGTTCAAGCCGCTTAGCTCGAAAAGCCAGAAGCAGCTTGGCAGCAGAGACCCAGGCTATGAGCGAGGCAGATCAAGAGCTCCTTTTTGTGCGACTAGCCTGGGCAGAGTTTTGTGCTTTTGAAGTTGATTTGAAAGCCAGCGAGAAGGCAATCTCGCAAATCCCCGGAACAGTTGTCACAGATGCAAAGGCACTTTTTGACATTTTGTTGAAGAGTGATCTCAATTCGGCCGCGGCAGGGTTGCGTGATAAATATTCCGCATTGGAGGTGCTTTGCCTGCTTGAATCCTTGGCAAAGCTAGGAACCAAGGCTCGCTGGGTGCATAGCGACCAACAGCTTGCCGACCATTTGACCAAACCCCTTCCGGCCGGAACACTCCATAAGGTCCTCAGTGAAGGCGCATGGACGTTGGTGTTCGACCCAACCTTTACAAGCGCCAAGAAGGTAAAGGCGGCCATGCGGAACAACTCGAGCCAAAAGTTTGGGGGCATGTCGAATTCTGAGCCTGACCCAACCTTTTTGTGTGAGCTTGACTGATGTTTTGGCTTTCCGTCATTCCGCTTGGCCCAATGCCTTACCAGGGGACCCTTTTGCCGAATCTCCTTTGCAAGCCATGTGTGCTTGACTACGCTACGGCGCTTGAAGGAAAAGCTGGCTTGGTGCGCAGCTTTGTCAGAGGTTTCGGTACCTCTGTGGTTTGTTGGTGCTACAAGTTGCACTTGCATTGATTGGCAGTTGAGGTTGCCATACATTGGTACTTGGGGTTTCGCTCTTTTCACTAGAGGCTACCCTGCTACCGACATCTTATGTAGGACTAGTAATATATATATATATATAACTTGGAAACCTGATGGGTTTCACGCTGGGCATACGCTGGGCCTACAAGTTATAGGCCTTTCCCACTCTACATCGTCTCCAATGGTTCTGACCCTTACTACAGACTACAGCATGTTTTGATCCACCTACCCAGCCACACATCTGATCCGTTTGAGCAAAACATGGTGGTGATTGGTGGTGAACCCATTTCTGAAACAAGGTCGACCTCGGAGTCGACCGGTGAAAAGGACCTCCGAGACTGTCTATCTCCACCATTATACCTTAGGGCTCCTGGCCCACCTCCTGAGAAGATGGTTGGGGTGGGTGCCAGGGGTCTCACCACCGAACCTGAGGATATATGACAGGAGCCCTAGGGATAGGTCATGCGTCCGAGTCGCTCCCGGATTGGTCGTTTTCACGACCGGTAGCATCCAAGTGACGCTTTTCCTCGCCAGACGCGGATTGACTTCGCCTCACTGGAAGCATCTGGCGTGGGGAAGTTTGTGGTGGTCGGCCCGGCGTCTTAGTTCGACCGAGTTTCGGGCGTCTCAGTCCACGAGCGTGGCGAGGAGACGAACATGTCGAAGAAGAAGAAGAAGATGAGCATGATCTGTCCCCAAACACTCCGGACTGGCATATTTATGGGGTGGTTGACCTGGGGTCTAATGTAGTCATGTATTCCAGTCCCATGGAGTGTGGGTCAACGCCCGCTTGTCCACGGCAAAAGGTTCAAGGATTGTTTGCCCCCTTTGCATATGAGTAAAAGTACGGAAAACACCTAGAGGGGGGAGGGAGTCGAGCGCGATTGGAACGGAAAGTTGATTTATGTCAAGGCCTCGGCAATGTCACTGGAATTCCTGATCATTTTAAGTGTGAAGGCTTCACGCACTGGCATCAGGTTCCCCATCTACCTTCAACGAAAAGAGTGTTCTTTCATCTCTTTTGGATTTGGTTCTGACTGAAGCATCTCGAGTCATCAGGTGATGTGTTCGACACTTCTCGGTTCCTGTCGTATGGGACCTGAGGTACGGTGGCAGTGTATCCCTAGGGCAACACGTTGATAGATCACTAGGCCGTGAAGAGATCGGGATTGGGGTACAGAACTTCCCCACGAAGTGGGGAAATCCAAGTATACTGGATCCTTTGGCAGATCCAACCCCCATGTATTTGGCAGCATAAGAGACTTTGTCATCCTCTCGCACCCCTGGCACGTCCTGGAAACATCGTAATCGCCGACCGCAGGTCTCTAGGAACTAAGAAGCTACTAGGAGCAAGGACGCTACAAATGGGGCTCCTGGCCATACTACTATAGGAACTAAGAGGAGGCTACTAGCTTGGAGCCCGATGCGCTACTCCAACTCAGACCGCAGACCGATGCGCTACTCCGCGCCCAGGGGGCGATCTCGGCTTCTCCGTGGGCCTGTTCACTGGTCTGGCGGTGCTGTGTATCATTGCCCTCATCGCGAGGCGGAGAACAGAACCTGGGCGTGTTGCTGTTGGACATCGGCCGCACAAAGGTCTGACAGAAGCAGGAGAGCCGGCTGGTCATATAGGTGGGATCCATGGTTTCACATTCAATTGAGAAGGGTAGCTTGATGGTTTGTTTGTTTTCTCTCATTGGACCATGGGGATACTGCGTACCACAGCCAGATCCACTTCAGTGGTGGAAGGAAGACACAAAGTGCTACTCCCTTTCAGCCCAACCCAAGAGACACCACACATCTCCGGCACATATTACAATTTATCACATACCAGCACCCTCCAACAGGTCTCCTTGGTGGCTTTTGAACACTTACCTGTAGCAGATGGTGACCTGTTGGAGTGGTAGTGGTGCTGCATTGCCCACCACATCCGGCTGTCCGGAAGGGTCCCTTCACGGTGGGCCCAGGCCCGAAACTCCGCGCCGCGCCGCATGTGTCAGGCGGATGCTCTTCGGGGGCGAGCTCGGAGGTCCTCAGAAGCCGAAGCTGCTCACCGCAGGTGGGAGAAGAGTTCTTCCGGTCCCTGCCGGTGGGACCGGTTCCCCAGCCAGGGGCGTGTTTCCCCCCCCGGGGCGGGTGCCGACGTGTGAATTCTTCAGGACTTCAAGGATCTTCAAACGGAACTTCTGGTGAACATGTGGATCGGTGGGCCCCCCGGGCCATGCGTTGGATTTGAATCTAGACGATCTAGACAGTCTCCTCTTGGTGGGCTGTTTTGGTCACTTTTTGTCAGACGTTGGGATGATGTCCGCATTGGGTACAGTCGTTACAAACGATATGTTGGGATGATGTCCTACTCCCAGACACTCCATGGCACTGCCATATATGCCTACATTGGGGTGGTTTTGGGGGTCAATGTAGGCATATATGGCATACATGGAGTGTCTGGGACTTTTTAGGGCATATATGAACGAAGTCGGGTCCAGGTTAACGCGTCAACCTTGATGGCGTCAACCGATCACCTGACCAGCGATCACCGGACAAGTCAACCCCAGCCGCCCCAGCCCCCCGATAGCAGCATGTGTGGTATGGCTTGATGACACCATTCGTACTTACAGTGGATTGAGAGTAGATGGCACAGACCCCCAATGTCGGTGGTTTATATGAACCCCCATGTGTTCAGGACATCTGTTCCGGGTTGTCGTGCCACTCTTCGCCTCAGATGGCCGTAGATGAAAGCACCAGGCCCTCAAGTCAGGTAGCGCAGCCTTCGCTCTGTAGATCATCCTATACCCGCTCGGTGCCGCATCGGTCCGCCCCGGACGGGGACGGGGACGAACCAGGCTCTGGACGGAGCGATACACCAGGGTACACCCCCCCTGTGTGCGCAATAGGCAAATAGGATGCAGTCATACAAGGCTTCGGATGGGGTGCCCAGCCCTGTGAGTTCAGAACAGCGAATTCTGGTCAATCCACGTACTTGAGTTACCTGATGGACGCTCGATCGAACCAAAATTCACTGAAAAAACACAGCACCGGAAACATCGCACCAATTCTTCCGCCGACCCGCTTGGACCAGTTGTTTTCAATCATCTGAACATGGCCAATCACACATAAAAACACATACCTGTAGTCTTAGTTCGTATTTGAAGTCTCATATGCATGGGTACCATGTTTTCTATTTATAGGGTATTCTAGGGTCATGTTTGATCTTCTTTGGTACGAACGAGTCATCGTGTCAAGGCATCACTCAGAGGGATCGGTGTCCGGAATTCCGCTGGAACTCGTGGTTTTGCCAGCCTTTATGGTGCTCCTCTGGCTCATCTATGTGATCGTTTCGGCATGGGGCCCCAACGCCGTTCTGGGCAGAGCAAGCAGTCTGCCCAGACCAAGGCCTGGCCTACAGCCGTGCGGCTGGTATGGATAGAATGAATAGTAATAGCAGGGATCTTTCCAGTCGTGTACAAATCAAGTTCGGTCTATGGTGGCATCGACCCCTCTATTTCGAGGGCCATCATGTCGGTCGACGCACGTCTGGTGAAAGGCGCTTCGATCGACGCCGTTCGCCGTTCTGATGAAGCCTGGTGGGAGGAAAGCTGCGGAATACGTGGAGATGGTTCGGTTCTAGATGTTGCCAGTCCATCGCTCAACGTGCAGCCTGTTCCGAACGTATGCGAAAGAACAACAGTTCCATGTTCCTCACGGCCACCCATCGAAGAAGATAGCTACGTTTGAAACACTTGGAAACCCACAGCCCACAAGCAAAAGAAAACGGATATCTACCAAGGCAAGATCGATCTTAATTGTCCGAAGACACTTCAATTTTACAGGGCTGTGAAGAACAACCACAGCTGGAAAGCTTTTTGGCACCAAGGTCACGTCAAGATGGGATGGGTTGTTTGAGTAAAAATGGGCCACTTGGAACTGCTGAAAACCATGCGCAATCTGTTGGCCGTTTTTGAGAAACACCTCTGAAACGTTGAGTGGGAGGGTAAGCCAGAAGTTGCAGGGAGATACTAGAACTTGGTGTTTTGAGGTCAGAAACTTGGTGTTGGAAGTAGACCTTGGTGTTGCCAACTGAAGGGGCCCGCTTCTTGTCAAATGGCTTGCTGCTTCCCCAAATCCTGCACGACACGTCCATCCTCACCCAACACCCGGCTGAGGCGGTTAACATTATCAGCAACAAGGGCCCCTGCGACTAATACGGCGCGCAGCGGCCTCGAAGGTTCTTCCACTGCCAAGCAGCGGATCCATGTATTTTCTTGGTCTCACACTGCCAAGGATCCCCATTTAGGACCAGCAGATGTTGCCTCATGGTAGTGCTACTTACGTCTACTTACATTACAAAAAATAGGAAGTTCAAAAGGGGGGCCTATTCGAGGGTGGGGCTGCCCACTATCCACTCACTTAAGAACCAACAAACATCCTTTGGAACTGCTGGTACTGCTGCATAATATAATATATATAATATAATATATATAATATATAATATATAGTAATATATATATATATATTATAGAGTGGATTGGACTTTGATTGATTCAGGGCTAAACAAGCATGAAACAGATTTGCTGATTTTAGAAACACTTGTCATAGAGGGAGTTTGAGTTCTCCTGTCAATCAACATGTTTCAAATCCGCCAACGATGGTTCCAGTGATGCCAGTCAGACCAATGAAGCCGCAACATCAATGGGTGAGGCCCCGGAACATGGGCACATGCAACAGCAGAGGTCTATCGGGTGCAAGCTACCTTCAGACATTTTGACATGTGCGGCTAGTAAGCTCAGTTGGGGCAGGGCA